TTATCCTGCCTTCAGATGCTTTGAAAAAAAGCTTGACTCCCTCTTCTTTGTGGCAACCCCTGAGATATTAGACTGCTATCATGTCATCCTAGTCCTTTTTTTCATTAAACTAGATATACCTAATTTTAGCAAATGTTCTTTATATGTTTTAGCCTCCAGTCCCCTAATCATCTTTGTTGCTGTTCTCTGCACTCTTTCTAGAGTCTCAACATCTTTTTTAGATTGTGTCAACCCAAACTGGATGCTTTATTCCAAGTGTGGTCTTACCAAAGCATTATAAAATGATATTAACACTTTACTTGATCTTGATTCTTTTTTTAAATCAAATTTTTATTTTCTTATATTCTTTATACATATCATTGTGTGAATGGTGTGGTAATTGGGTAATATACATTTCACTACACATAAACATAGTCTTATTATTCCTAAATATTACATTTCATTTCCATTGTTTCATATTATTTATATACATGTCTTTTATTATCAACCTTCCTTTTTGAACCATTTTTCTGTCCTTTTGTATATATTAATATATAATTATTATTTTCCCCACTATTTTCTATCCCTATTTTAACTCTCCCCTTTCATATCATTATAATATTCAAAGACATCTTTTCCACCTATTTTGTTGTTCATATTTCCTTAGTTAAATCATCCTTCATTCTTCCATTTTTCAATAACTCCTTATACAGTTTTAGTATCAATCATGATCATTCATACATTTAGGGTATTTCTATTCATATTCTTTCCAATTCTTCAATCCATATAATTCTATTATTAATACACCTGTTTAGATTAATATATATATTAATAGACTATGCAATCTAACTTTTCCTCCCAACTCTATCCTTTCCCACTCTCTAATTCCAGAACTATCCATTCCACTTCCTATCTCTTTTCCTCAGATCTGTTCCTGTTTCTCCCATTCCCTTTTTAAATCTTTTAGATTATTTCCCTCCTTTTTTAGTTCCTTAATCACTATTCGTTTTGCCAACATCTCTTTGTTATCGTCTTCTTGCTCATTTCTCACCACTTTCCCCTCTGTTTCTTCTGGTAGCTCCATTCTTTCTTCCTTGTCCTGATCAGACTATGGACTGGGGTGCCAAGGGGAGGGGATTGAATTGTACATGATATTATTCACTTTCGCGCCTAATTAACCAGACTCAGCTTAACTTTGCTACTGTTCATTTATAATTAGTAAAAGTACACTTGATTTCAAACAAATGGAATTGAGTGGCTTCAGGCAAACCCCATCTATTTCTCATCCACATCATTGATGATGATATCGAAGAGTATTGGGCCTAAAACAGAGCCTTGGTGTACCCCACTGCATACTTCCTTCACCCAGTGCCTTCATGTAGATGGTAAACCAAAGGGAAAAGAGTATACAATAGCAATAGCAATAGCAGTAGACTTATATACCGCTTCATAGGCCTTTCAGGCCTCTCTAAGCGGTTTACAGAGAGTCAGCATATTGCCCCCAACAATCTGGGTCCTCATTTTACCCACCTCGGAAGGATGGAAGGCTGAGTCAACCCTGAGCCGGTGAGATTTGAACCGCTGACCTGCTGATCTAGCAGTAGCCTGCAGTGCTGCATTTAACCACTGCGCCACCTTGGCTCTTGGCTATACAGCAGAGTTCTGAGGTACCCAATCAACCAAAGGCTTCAGATTCAATTTCACCTCTCTTGTCCACACCAACTGAACCCAACTTCAGGGAAAGGAGGAGACCCTTGCAACTTGTACCTCCCAGCACCAATCCCTTCAGGCAGGCCAGAAGGATGCTATGATTGATGCTAGCAAAATGTAGTGAGAGTTCAAGAAAAGAGTTCAAGTGTGATTCCAGAAACTACCTTTGAAAAATCGGAAGCTATTAAAAAGGAAAACAGGTAAAATTCCAGGTCCAGATGGCCTCACAGATCAGTATAACAAATATTTTGAGGGGAAACTCCTATAACTCATAAAGGATATAATGGATTATATTAAGGATACAATGGATTGTGTACTACAAGATGTAAAGGTCAATCTGACTCTTTTTTTTTGCCAGAAAGACAATTGAGAAACAGTGAGTTGGTGAGTGGGTGAGTTGGTGAGTTTTGAATGTTATTGAATATTTACAATTTCATACTGAAAAGCAAGCAGCTCTAATATTTTTGGTTGCAGAGAAAGCTTTTGATAACTTAAATTGGGACTTTATTTTTAAAGTTTTGGAAGATATGGATTTTGGAGAGGAATTTATCCAAGGGGTTAAGATAATATAATCATCATAGCAAGCAAATGTTATCATTAATGGAGATTTAACTATAACATATGATATTCAAAAGAATATGAGACAATCTATCTCCACTGTTATTTATGTAAGTGTTGGACATTTTGAATAATGGTGTCTGAGAGGATAAATGCATAAACGGCATAAAAATCAGAAAAGAAGTTTATAAATGAAGAGCTTTCACTGATGACTTGGTTACAGATTCTTGCAAGACCTCAAAACACTTGATGAAGAAGCTAAATGACTTTGGAGGTTTAGGAGGCTTCAAAATAAATAATCAGAAACAAAAATGCTTGTTAAGAATATGGCTTCTCAAGAACATGAAATATTGACAAAAGATTCAAGTTTTAAGGTGGAGAAAAAGTCTAAATACAATTAGGTTACATTGACAAATACAAACACCAAACTGTTTCAAAACAATTTTGTACTTGTATGGAATTATATTAAAAAGGCCTTATTAAGATGTGATAATTCTTACTGATGTCTTACCAAATATGTTGTTTTTATTTCAGATTTTACCAATATTGTCACGCATCACTCCATTTAAACAATGGCAAAAAGATATTTCTGCATTCATATGACAAAGGAAAAAACTAATAGTTAGATATAAATTACTGCAAGATGCCAAAGAAAGAAGAGGTTTAGGCTGACCCAATTTGAAATTGTATTTTGATTCTTACTTTGATTCTTATAAAAAGAGGTGACTCTCCAAATAAAAGAGATTATTTGAATTAAGAGGGCCATGAATTAAGGTTTGGATGACATGCCTACTTATGGTATGACAAAGTTAAGATGAATGTTGACTTTAAGGATCCTTTGGTTGTCTAGAATTGTAGCACTACCACCTTCTCATCCTTCTCTTGGAAACTGGCCGAAAATGGTTGAGTACAGATGGATTCAGTGAAGCTTCCTCAAAACAGCGGAAAACACACTGCTATGATTTCTTTAACTTTTGATTGAGTGAATCAGTTACTATCTCCCCATTAGTACAATTCAAGATTGGAACCTCCTTTTGAGTTTGGAGACTTTTTGAAAGATATTTATTTTTTTCCATGTCTGTTTCCATTTATATGTTCTCAGAGATCTTGTAATACTGCTTCTGGTCTCTTCTAAAAGTTCCTTGAAATTCCTTGTTAAGTTTGGTCCTGACATGTAGTTGACATCTACTCAACTAGCTAAGTAGTTTGCTGAGTGCCATCCAACATAAGGGGCACAATAAACGGCACTATATCATCAATAACTTTTGGCCTTTTTTATAACTCCATTGTAGGGAAGAATGAACAATTATATATAGCTTGGTACCAAAGTACACATGATTTGAGCTTACCCCACTATTATTGCATTTTGGTTTAATGTCCGTATATATGATACAATAGCTTTGGAAAAAATAATGTGGCCTAAAGATGGCTAGAATTATGTAGGAATGATAAATTCATCATCATATTGAAATATGGATCTATCGTATTTATTTGTATTATATAAAGGCTGGTCAATATTATATTTCTGATGATCTCCCTCTCTCCTTCCTTCCCTGGCTAAAGGCAAACAAATTTAGTGATGTAAAGTTGGGAGACTTGGGATCTATTGCCAAGTATAAGCCACAGAAGTTTGACTGTTCATACTTGCCTATAGTTTGATGAGCTTTTGATGATCATGCTTTGATTATACATTTCAAGTCAGCTATAGATTCATTGAATTGGCAAGGTATCAAATTCACATTTAACAAGTTTATTAATCAGAAAGTTACAGTATATTTTGTCAAATGCCTTGGTGAAATCAGTATGTAAGATGCTCATATAATTCCTACAATTTCAGTAAGTTGATACAACACCCAGCTGACTTTGGCTATCTCAAGAAAGTTGAACTGTGAATACATAGATGGGAGACCACCAAGACATCCCAGGTTTATAAAAGAGATTGCAAAGATAAAAATACCTCACAGAATTAAAGGACTGGTAAAGCACATCTAAACTGAGAAAATTGTCTTATTAACAAATAAAGTTTCCATTTAACATGTTCTTGAAAAATCCAAGCAGATCGTTAGCATTTACCGCTCTATGAGCTTCTCAGAATACAAGAGAAATTCCTTGAGCTACATAATTTTCAGCTATGTAGGATTGCAGACTCAGAATTCCCTGCCAGCTGCCCTTTGCTGAGAATTCTGAAGCTCAGGACCACACATCTACAACTTGACAAGGTTGGGAAACACTGCTAAGGCTCCCAATGTCAGAATGCCCAAACCTTAGATTCCCAAATCTTATTTTGTTGAAGGTTGCAAGGATTTCCCTCTTCCAATCCCCTCTACTATGCAGCAGACACAAATATTTTCACAAAAAGAGGCATCACATTGAGAACTGATCCATCAAATAATAAAACAATCAACAAAAGAAAAATAATTCATTAATGTCTTTCTGTAAACAAGACAAAGATTAAGAAAAACTTGGCAGGCAAAATGATAATATCAGGGGAAGAGCCTACTTAAGTTTACTTTCATTATAAGACAAATTTACTTACTGTAAACTGCAAACTTTCTTTGCACTTTTCCATAGTTTCTCAAATTCAAAAAATATTTCATCATAAAAAAGTATTAATGATTTGAAATTCAATTTATTTACCATCGGTGTCTAAGTCTAACAATTCAAAAAAAGAATTGCCCCAAAACTAATTCAAAATTATAAGTATAGAAATGAGATACTGAGTGGATGGCTGGGACTCCAAGAGCTGGACTCACCTTTTTAGCAGAATCCGAGGGCGCATCCACCCCATTGATAAGTTCCCCATTATCTGCAAAGACAGGAATATTGGGACTGAAAATCATGAGATCGCTCTTGACACCAGCCTCTGCGCTCACACCTGCCAGGATATGGCTGTGCCGATTGGAATAGGACCAGCTGCCCACTTCACTGGCACACACC